GAGAGAGAGAGAGAGAGGTCTCCTGCATGTTTCTGAATGATGTCATTATTGATTCATCTAAATCTGCAGAACTGCCTCTTTTTGAGCTCTATTTTAAATATTTAAAGGACCAGTTCACCCAAAAATAAACATTAGCTGAAAATGTATATCACTGTCTCAGCAATGGATGCTCTGCAGTGAATGGGTGCCGTCAGAATGAGAGTCCAAACAGCTGATAAAAACATCACAATAATCCACAAGTAATCCACAGCACTCCAATCCATCAGTTAACATCTGGAGAAGACAAAAGCTGAAACAAATCCAGCATTAAGACGCTTTTAACTCAAAAATGAGTCTATAATAACGCTTCCTCCAGTGAAAAAGTGCATCTGCTGTTGTCTCTCACATCAAAATCCAGCCACATATTTGTTTAGAGCTGTTTTGGCTTGTAAACATGTGCTTGATCTGTGCAGATTTCTCTCCTGATTCAGACCAGAACACTTTTTTACTGGAGGAAGCGTTATTATGGATTATGGACTCTATGTATTTTAGTTAAAAGCGTCTTAATGCTGGATTTGTTTCAGCTTTTTGTCTTCTCCAGATGTTAACTGATGGACTGGAGTGCTGTGGATTACTTGTGGATTATTGTGATGTTTTTATCAGCTGTTTGGACTCTCATTCTGACGGCACCCATTCACTGCAGAGCATCCATTGCTGAGACACTGATGCAATGCTACATTTCTACAAACCTGATGAAGAAACAAACTCATCCTGATCTCAGATAACCTGAGGGTGAGCACGTTTACAGCTATTTTGGGTGAACTATTCCTTTAACTATTGCTGAATTAATTTTCATAACTTTTCAAAAGTCATTCATATAATTAGTTGTAAATGAAGTCAGATCAGCGTGCTGCTCGGCTCAGTTGTTGTTGTGTTAATGAGAAACTCTCGTGCATCTGCTCAATTCACAAACCTAAATGAAACGATTCACAAACATTGCAGTGGGTCTGCTTTGGTTGATATAATGATGTCTATTCTCAACTAAAGTACAGCTTCTCAACCTCGTAGAGTTTTTTGTGATCCAAATATGTAAACGGCACGTCATATCTTCATTACTTTATTTACGTGTGTGAACTGATTTACTCTCACAAACCTCTGAACAAAACACCCCATATGCAGTTACACAACTGAACACTCACACACACACACACACACACACACGCACACGCACACACACACACATGCACATGCACACGCACACGCACACGCACACACACACACACACACACACACAGCCTGAGGGCCGGACACCATTCGCGAACTCTTGTTCTCAGTCTTTTGTGTGTGGATTATGTAACTTATAAAACTCACGCTACGACCATCAGCACACACACACACACACACACACAC